CTCTCATCCTGTCACCAGTTGCCCAGGAGAACAGCCTGACCCCCACCTGCCTACACCCTCCCTTCAGAGAGTTGCAGAGAGTGATAAGGTCCCCCCTGAGTTGCCTCTTCTCCAGGCTGGGAACCTATAGAAAGGCTGGGGAGGGACTTTTTACAAGAGTGTCCAGCAATAGGACACGGGGAAATGGATCTAAATTGAAGGAGAATAGATTTAGATTGGATCCTAGGAAGAAATTCTTCAGTAAAAAAGTGGCCAGACTCTGGAACAGATTGCCCAGAGAGATTGTTGCTGCCCCCTCCCTGGAGATGTTCAAGGCCAGGTTGGATGAGGCCGTGAGCAACCTGGGCTGGTTAAGGGCGTCCCTGCATGTCTGGTCCATTTAGTCCATCCCTGCCCATGGCAGGGGGTTGGATCAGATGATCTCTGAGGTCCCTTCCAACCTAAGACATTCCAGGATTCTAAGGTTTCCAACGCTCAGTTTTCTTCCAGCCCTTTCTAATGTTTACCACCCAGCACCCATCACAGATCCACTCCAGCCTGCCCATGATCACTCCCCCCAGATCACGTCCGCACAGGTTAAGGCTGGGTCCACTGATCTATATGGTTCCATGCGAATTGGGCATGACAGAACCGTCAGCTGTGGTCACTGTTCATCAGGAAAAGATACCTGTGAATTATTATGCACGTTGGATCAGACCGTTAACAAATGCGTTGTGAAGCTACTATGGAAGCTGATTCAAGTTATTCTCTAGGTGACTGTGCTTCTGTTCTCAGCACAAAGCTGCCACATGAGCTCTTCTGACCACTTGTGTATTTACATTTGCTGTGCATCTGTCCTAGCATCTCCAAGCCCTGATGTCTTGGAGGAACACACACTGAGACACTTCCTGACTGGGGTCAGCTTCCAGTACGGGAACTCTGCTGGGTGCAGCTCAAGATGTGAACCAAATGCAGGCACGAAAACACGGTTAAGACAAAAGCCTGGCATTTGGAAGGCAGTTCTCTACTCTGGCGTATGACAAAACTAACTGTTTAGATGAGATATAATTAGCATTTTAACTCTTCATTCTCCTGTTTCACTCAGCCTGTGCAATGGAACAGCCTGGTCTGCTTAGTCTGTCCCACAGTTTTCACTCCTGCTGTCATTGCTCTATAGTCACACAGTTCTGTGGGGTGTTCAAAGCCTCACAGGACTGTGTTTTCATCTCTGCTGTTCATAGTGCTCTCCCTGCAACAGCTCATGGGGAATCACCCGTACACTAGTCAGCAACAGATCCACGGTGAACATGAACGTAAGTTCCAGCACGTATTTCATCCCTGCTTCCAGCTGTCAATGGTGTCACTGGCACAATTTATACCTTTCGGCTATCACAGCCTCCCACGGCAATGAATTTCACAAGTGATATCGCCTGCATTACATCATGTGTTCTTCCCCTATTCCTTCACCAGAAGAAAGTGTTCCTGCTGCTGCACCACCACGGTGCATGTACCAGCCTTGCAATTTAGCCAGCTCAGGGAATGCTGGACGGATTGTTGGATAACTTTTAGTACGAGACATCTGAATCTCCTTGCCTAGTGAAGTTGCTCAGCACTAGGGATAATACTGAAGTGCAGGCCAGCTAAGATACCTTTCAAGGGCAAGGTGTGCTCCAGGGTGAACATGGTTGACATGGTAACATATTTTACTTGTCATTTTGTCACTACGCCTATTCTAAGCACAGCCTTTCAATTAATTGATTCTTAGGACTTGATATAGACGATGTTGGAACATTTCCTACAACGGCATTTTCACAAGTAGTATTACCCATCCCACCCCAGCTCGGATTTCTTACCTTTGTGGTCCACAACTTGACTGTCCAGTCGAATGATGATGTGACAAAGAGATGGGAAAAGTCGATTGGACCCACTGCCATGTGACAATTAATTCCTGTGACGGGCCCTTGGTGGCCTTCAAAGATTTCACCGATGCCAGCTTTACTGCAGGAAGAAGAGATATTTGCATTCAGAGAGGGATTAAACATCTGGTGAGTTAACATCATTTTTCTTTACTCTGAGGTTCCTGTTTCTTTTCCAAGTTCCATCCAGTCTGTAAATCTCTCTCCTTTCAGGAAGGCCTTTGCTGGCAGGGCTTTACTCCTGTGGGCACAGCTGACGCTCAGGATCCAGCACAGGGAGACTCACTTCTGAAGACTTGCCTTACTCACTTTTACATACGCTGTCTACTACTGTAGTTTGAAATAACGCTTATGTGTAATTATAAAATAATTCTAAATTATAATTATACTGTAGGTTATGCCTCTAAGGAAGCCATTATCGCAAGGAATAACCATTAAAATAAAAATGCAAATATGCTAATGACTGATCATGAGCAATTCCTTTTTCTCTTCAACATCTAACACAACTTGCCACAGCAGTCAATCAAGTCACTGGGAAGCAAATCCTTTTTCACAGAAAGCAAAGGAACTGTTCCTGTGATCAGGTGTCGTACAGTCATTATGCTGAACAAGGGGAGATGTGGATTTCGTCGGCCTGAGGCTAGAATAGTTAGTAGGAAGGAAAAATACAATGCTGGGTAAGAGCGAACGTGCGCGGTTTTCTTCTTCCTGGAAGCAAATGATTCCTGATCAGTTGTCAGTGCTGCCAGAAAGGGGAATCACGAAATTACCCTTTTAGTTACATCACGGAAAAATTGCCAATGGAAGAAAATATGTTAAAAATAGCCACAGCTCTGACCAAGCTGCCCGCCTGGTGCCACTATGAATATGGTGCCACTGCGAATATGGTGCCACTGCGAATACCCAAAGAGATGAGGAGCTGCACCGGAGGAAGTGGGTCCCTCACTGCTAGCGTGGTGTCCCCTCACCACGCGACAGCGTGGCCTCACTGAGGCTCTCCTGCCAGACCTTGCGGAGTGTGCTGGAGCAGGGGCCGAGCTCTGCGGTGCTGGGTACAAAGCACACCTCTGACTTTATCCCTGCACCTCTGCTGTGGAGTTGGTGTGATAAGGGGACTTCTGGAGCACTGAGAACACCTTGTGTATCTGCTGTGCTTTGCCACATCTTTTTTTTTTTTCCAGAATAACACATGGCTCTCCGCTGTGCTGGGCTGAAGAACACAGGAGCCTCTGGAAATAAAATGGGAATGATAGCAAAAACCTCTGAGAAAGAGAGGCACAAAAGGAGCGTGTTTGTTGATGGCCAGCAGAAAGTTTGCTAGAAGGGTGGGCTAACAAGAGGATCCTCTCGTGAGGAACAAACCAGGCATGTCTGAAAGACCAGAAGCGAGAAATGCCCTTGGGCATGCTGCATTTATCCTAGCAGTCTAAGACTAATTCGAACCATCAGCCCTCCACACAGCCTATCAGTCTAATGCTTAAATAGACACAACTTTGCAAAACTGTCGACGGTCAGGTTGAAATAAAAATATTTTAAAATGAAAATTATATTGAAGAAAATATATGTAAAACAGTATTTATACAACATTAGGATACGTAATAGAAGCCTTACGATCTTAAACCAGTGTATCAATGTCTCTCTGGTCTCTTTCTCACATGCACGTGTGCCCACGGTGGCTTTTCTCTGATATATGCCTGTGGAGACTGAAGATGGAGTTGAGGATGGTAAAATAAAGCAGCTTCTCATCTCTGATGAGCAGTTTAGGCCTGATCAACAAAACTTTCTCCTAGGGCCTGATTCGACCTGCCCAGACTCAGATAGCTCTATCTCAGCTAGCTGTCTAGACCTCAGCCTGATCTCATGGGTGAGAAAGAGGCATTTCTGAGGTCCCGTCATCTCTTCTTCAGGCAGATGTCTGAAAAAGGAAAGGGAAATCAAGCTCTGAGAGCAGTCGTTGCTTCCCACCACCTGTGCAGGGAGCCTGGGGCAGCCACCCCCGTACAACAAGCTGTAGCACCGGGGCTCAAAGTTGGGCAACTCCTGTCTGAGGTGTGTGAAGCGGAACAGCACCGGCACTGTCGATCCAAGAGAAAAACCATAAAACTCTCCCCACACATACTGGGCTAAGTCTCACCGGCACAGGTCCACGATGATATTTAAGTACAAAATGCTGAACATCACCTTCCATGACGACAGGCTGTGTAGACTGTTCCCTCTTCGCTGCCAACGACAAAGTTATTGACATCTCCGGTTGGGAAAGCCATTCCTGTAACCGCCACTGCTTTGGACTTATTGTACACCAGCTCCATGCTCTCCTACCAAAACAAGGCTTTGTTATTATTCTGTGATCGTCATCTGGCTTTTGTTCTGTTTCGTTTTCTTCTAACTGATTTCTAAATGTTACACAGGGCAGCAGAAGAGGACAAAGAAATCATCTGAACCAGCCACGTAGCTTTGGTTTCTACGTAGGACATTGTGAAAAGATGCGATGTCACGAACCAGGATGCACTGCTCCTGCCACCCCCACCGCTGGCTGTCACCCGTCTGAGAGTGGCTGGAAGGCACTGGTCGTAGCTACAGCATCTTAAATCAGGCAGAGATGACAGGTGAGAATTCAAAATCTAATGGTGCAGAAAGTAAAGGTAATACCTTAATGGTTACACTTGCCAGCCCCAGGCTCTAATAAAACATGCAATACCCTTCTATTTACAAACGATTTGAAATCAACTGTTTGTCAGGAAACCCATGTAATATCCTGTGCGCCTGAGCCAGTTACCACACTGTGCCATTCGTCTCTTTGCAGACTAAAATTAAAAAGTTGGGGTCCTGTCACCTCCACCATTCTAAGCATTGCTTTTCAGGGATTTTCCGAGGTAACCATAAACACCCCCTTCAGACTCCACCATCAAGCTCCAACACAGCAAGCATATTTCATTTTGTTTTTTTCATTCGGTGGCTATATTTCACAGTAAATCAGCATGCCCAGATTTGCTGTTGCAAGTACAACCAGCATGAACAGTTTGTGGCTGTCGTAAGCTGCGCATGCCTTGAGCAGATTTTGCACAACTTTTTGGTTGCTCAGCCTTGAATGATGTAACCTAAGAATCCAGAAAAGGGCTGAATGATTTAGCAGTTTTCATTTCTCGCTATTTAAGCGGGTATGTTTTCTATGTTTAAAATGTCTAAGCTGCTCTTCTAGTGCCAAAGCCTGTAGCATTCTTCTCAGAGGGGCTTTTTGCTGTAGCTAAAGAAAGTGGGCACCCCCGTGAGACGAGAGGGCTGCAGATCCATAAAGAAATACTTTTGCTTGGTTTATACTTTGAAACAAATTTGGTTCTACGAAAAAGGAAAACAAAACCTGGAAAATGCATGGGCAGAGCGTCTGTGGATCATATATTTCTGCGAAAATCTTCTGGGGCTGAGATAATTGAGTGCCTCTGTGGGGACAGGGCCACATACTGTGGTGAACTCTCTCCTCCCAGTGTCTAACACCGTGGCTGTACACGAATGCTCTGGATTTGGATCTTAAAGTTTCAGACCAACACTCATCAGCAAACACTCTACTCCTCCCGATTTAAAGCTGTGGCATGTAGCTTGACGTCAAGTCCTCTGCCTTTCTTTTCTAGATCGCCAGGAGCCACGCACCAAACTTCGTTGTAATGCAGGGTGTGTTCCCACCCTTGCAGAAAGGCAATTTTGTAGCAGGGACATTCCATCTGAGTGATGAAGCACCAAACGGAGATATTTACAAATGTCTACTTCAACATTTAGTATTCCAGTCAGTCAATACATAAGAGTGGGATTTATCTTCTAGATGTTCAAGTGAGAAACTAGGGAGGGGATTCAGGTGCCTAAACATAGATGTCCGGGCCATTTTAGATGCCTCTGCTTCTCTTAGAGATTATTATTGGTTTCTCTAGACCCAGGACACAACTACCAGATCCATACTGTTGCCTTAGATGAGCATGAGCAACATGATCAGATTTGAAGTTGGCCTCACTTTGAGTATGGAAGTAGATGGGATGACTTCCAGAAGCCTCTTCCATCCTACGATTTGACAGTTCCACTGTCAGGTGGGTATCTAAAATGGCATTTCACACGGGGATGGAGGGAGTCGTCCTCCAGAAATGCTCATTCTTTCTCTGCATTAACTGCAACTGAAATTACTAACTTGGACTTGACACAGACCTATCTTTTAGATGGCTCAGGTTAGGAAAGAGGAGTCCCACCTCTTGTATCAACACTGAAAAGCAAGTAATTCCATAGTAATTGCACATTAAGCCATGATTAACAGATGATTAATTAATGGAATCATTAAGAGGAGCTGCCTCACACCATTTTGAAACAAGATCATACCCCATGATGCTTAGAAAGAAATTACATTAAATTATTTTACTCTAAGAAATGGTATATCGAAGATGAGTGCTGTTTTCTATTCCATAGAAAACATACAACTCCAGAAGATAACACTTAAAAGATACTTTCCAGAGACTTTTTTCAGCAATAGATTCTCTGTTTAGTTTCCATTATTATAACCACTAGTGGTCTGGACAGTTTTCCTGAGTTTCCTTTCATTTCTGATAAAAAGTAGGGGGGGAGAGGTGGGGAAGACAACAGTAGCAAACATTCCAGAAGGGGGAAATTAGTTCTAAAACTTTTGATTTGCCTTGTTTGTTCCTTTGGCTGCTGAAGGCGGGCAGCAAAGTAAGATTTCTGCCTTGGAAACGGGGACTGCCCAGGGTGTGTTGAGCAGCAGCGCAATCTAGTCCATATTTGTTAAACAAAGCTGTAGAGTAAGTACAATTTATACCACGGGCGACGGCTGTAATTACCGGCCTTTAAAATGGATTATTTCATTTTCACTTGAAACTGACCTAAGCATTAACGTATTACGATAATTACATGATTTGTGGTAAAGGAAATGGGGTTTGGCTCTTAGCAGAGGCTGCTGGAAGCAAGCAGCACTCTTTCAAGTGCATCCATTGGTTTTAGTTTGTATAGGACGTGAGGGTTTGGCGTGGAGGAGCTAGATTCCATTAAGCAGGTATCCTGCCCTACCAAATGTGGGTTTTTTTCCCCCCTGTATAGGTGAAAGCAAACCCACCTGTGGAGTTGAGAGCATGTCCAGGCTCCAGGAGCACATTTTGCCATCGGTGGAGACGGTGATGAGATTGTGCGCGTTCTGCGTTCCCACTACGTTCACACAATACACAGGATGCTGAAAACACAGGAACGCTGGAAATCAGAGAGCTGTTCGCATGTCTCCATGAACAAATTTCTAATGTCTCAGACGTTATTTCAAAGAATGATTAAGTGGTCACAGAATGCCTGGAAAATACAGGACTCGGCTTTTGCCAGGGAGGAATTGTTTCATTTTTTTTTTCGATTTAAATTTTAAGACGTGCATTATGGAGGTGGAAATGTTTTCAGAGTTTCATTTTCCTCATAATAAAACAACCCAGCTGAGTAATGCTGTGAAAATACTGAATTATGTGGATGACATTTCACCCACAGGGACATGTATCATTCTACTGATGTCTTTTGACACTGAAATAACCAGCAGAAAGAGGCAAATTGTCCAAAGGGAATCAAAACGAAAACTTTATTCAAGAAAAAGGCTGCATAAAACTTGAACTTTTCCAGAATTTGGCTTGCATGCTAAATATTTGCAAATGTACTCCAGTTGAAAAACATGAACAAATCCATCAGCGTTCTCCAGCACCGGCCAACGTACCTTTTTTAATCTGTCATTATAAATGTGGAGTGACTAAATTTAGGGTGTCACACCTGGTTCACCATAGCATAGTCAGTCCGTGGAGGCTGAATTCCGCTTAGTATGCAATCATGAAACTTGGCCTATTTCTTTTCCAAGGAATCTGGTAACATTTTGAGCCTAAAGCGTCATCTGATATCTGACGGTGACATATGAAGGATGGATCAGGTTCAGCAATCCCCAGAGTGAAAAATCAGTCAGACTGAACAATAAGATTTAATTTCCTTTGACCAGTACAAGCGATACTGCTGAATTAAGACATACACACGAGTCAAGCAGAGAAAATTTGTATTTCTCTTTTTACAAGAGTGTCCATCGATAGGACAAGGGGAAACGGATTTAAGATCAAGGGGAAGAGATTTAGACTGGATCTTAGGAAAAAATTGTTCAGTACAATGGTGGCAAGCCTCTGGAATAAATTGTCCAGAGAGATTGTTGCTGCCCCCTCCCTGGAGATGCTCAAGGCCAGGTTGGAGGAGGCCGTGAGCAACCTGGGCTGGGTAAGGGCGTCCCTGCCCATGGCAGGGGTTGGGTTAGATGATCTCTCAGGTCCCTTCCAACCTAAGACTTTCTAGGATTCTGCCTCTTTTGCTGATGAATAGAAGATCTGTCTCTCCAGGAAGAAAAGATACTTTTCACTGATGCTTTCCTAATTTAAAGAAAAATAGCACCAACTTACAAGAGATCCCTACAGAGCTTTTGAGCCAACTCCACGTAGCATTTGCTCCTCCTGAAAGGAATGGCAGAACCACCCCTTATTTCAGAGTACTTTAAGGTCCAGCTGCTGGTCACCTGCCCAGTCAGCAGGCACAGGCAGAAATCTTCAGAGCCCTGCTTAGCTCTCAGGTTCGATACCAGTCAATGCCCCCTCCCTAAGTGCAGCATCTCGCTCCAGATGTGCTCAGCAATCGCTGCTGAAGCGGCACCTTGTGCTTGGCGGCCACCTGTACACAGCAGTGAGTCACAAGGTCCCTTCTAATGCTGATTTTTCTCTTTCTCTCAAGCTTGTCAGGCGCTTGGTTTCCCCCAGATCATCAAAGAGACCCCAGTCTGTCCCTCACACGTGTCTCAATGCTACTATACTCAGAGGATGGACCTTCTTGCTGCTCAGCAGTGAGCTGATGACCCCAGTGGTAAACGATTAGCACACTCCGATGAGTAAAATAAGTAGAGTCCTATTTTTTTCATGGGTGTTTGACCTCCAGTAGTCCGGAGAGGGACGGAGTGGGTGGGAGGAAGCTAAAGCAAGCAGCGGAGTATCTAGAATATTTAGAGGGCGGGAAGGAGAGAGCTAGCCATGTCTTTCCAGCAGCACCTCAGTGTGCCAGGTCTGGTTTTAATCAGAGCTACCAGCCATCAATTTCATGCACAATAAAACTCACGGCAGAAAAGACATAAAGGAAAATGGATGAAAAAGACAACCAACTGTACGTAACAGAAAGTCTAAACAGGCTCCTTCCTTTCAAAGGGTCGCTACCAGCTTGCTTTTATTTATTTTGGAAATGAAATCATCATGCCAAAGGGTTTTGTCTTAATTAAAATTTCCTGTTGTCCCAAGTGCAGATGTGTGGTGGGTGTGAAAGGAAATTAGTGAGTAAGCTGCGGGTAGAATTCTCTTTCCTGGCGAATCCAGGCAGCAATCACTGATACTGAACTTCATGAAGGTTTAAGGCAGTGATAACAACACACTCTGCTTCAAATAAAGTGAGAGAAAGAGGAAAAATCCTTTCTTCACATATAGCATAGAATCAAATTAAAAAAATGACTATTCAACTCATGTATCTAGCAGTATATAAAGTAACATCGCAACTCTACAGTAGAGCTGTCTCTCTTTAATCCCTTCTTTTTTTTCTTGGAAGGTAGGATTCACAGAATCACAGAATCATTGGAGCTGGAAGGGACTTCTAGAGATCACCTCGTACAACTCCCTTGGTAAAGCAGGATCACCTAGAGCCCACTGCATAGGATTACACCCAGGTGGGGTTTGAAAGTCTCCAGAGAAGGAGACTCCACAAACTCCCTGGGCAGCCTGTGCCAGGGCTCTGTCACCCTCACAGTGAAGAAGGTTTTCCTCATATTTAGATGGAACTTTCTCTGTTCCAGCTTGTGCCCATTGCCCCTTGTCCTGTCACTGGGCTCTACAGAAAAGAGCCCGTCCCCACCCTCCTTACACTCACCCTTCTGATACTTAGAGACAGTGATAAGGTCTCCTCTCAGCCTTCTCTTCTCCAGGCTACATAGTCCCAGCTCTACATCTGCCCTTGTTTGGTGAACCTCATTAAATTCCTTTCTGCCCAACTCTCCAGACCTACTGGGGGGCAGCACAGCCCTCGGGCGTGTCAGCCACCCCTCCCAGTTTTGTACCACCCATTGAACTCGCTGAGGATACTCTCTGCCCCCTTGTCCGGGTCATTGAGCAGGACCAGATCCAATACTGACCCCTAGGGAACACCGCTGGCTACACATCTCCAACTTGACCCTGCACCACTGATCACAACCCTGGCTAGCATTTTGCAACTCAGACTTCATTTACGATTTAAGTGATTCCTATATATGAACAGAAAGTAAGCACTCTCTTATTCTAAAATCTGATCACTCCTTAACATCGTTTCCTCACGTTAGACTGTGTAAACACTTACTTATACCAATCTATGACAGCACATAAAGTGCCCACCAACAACTGAAAGTCATTTATTTATATTTGCCAAAAGCAAAACATCACATATTGTTCCATTTCAATAATAAAGCTAGTTTAATATATAATTCCAGGAGGTACAATTTTGTCTTAAATGTTTTTTGAGCGTAAACAAATTACTTTCCATTAATCTTTTCTTTTCCACTAGATTTTGAGTCCCAGTTGTTCAATTTTCAGTGATAGTCAGCTTCTTGCCACTAGTTTTCTGGTCTGCTACATCTCTAAATTGCACTTCCAGGAGAGACTTGCTTTTCGTGCAGATTGAACATTAGTGGCAGCAAAACGAGCAAAAACATTAGGGAAACGAAAAGCAACGTTGAAGTTGCAACCCATGGCACAGATCATCAGATTATTACATCAACATTCATGATAGTGGAAATTTAGGGAACAATATTTGCACTGCCTGGCCCGCTAAGCATGGCTGTGCACACCTGTTATTTTTTAATATAAGAGAGTTGCCATCATAACAGTGGCCCCATGCTGAACCTTTTGCATTACTTCACGTGGCTTGGCTTCTAGAGCTGGCTGGTAACTCCAGGGATTATGTTCTCACACTCCACTAAAAGTTGAACCTTGATCTGCAGATTCCAAAGATAAGAATCAAAGAGTTGTGAAAGCTGGAGGTGCAAAAGACCTATCACTTTGTCTGATCCCTCAAACAAGATTATTATCTTATCTCTCAAAAGTGCTTTGTGTAGTTCAGTTTCTTATGTTTCAGGAAATCTGCATTTTTTTCTGCCTTCTTTTATCATACTATCACGTTTTTCTCCCTCCTTTCATCCTGTATTTTCTTTTTTTGCTTCCCACTCAGGAATGGTCCCAAGCCCACTCCCAGCATGAGAGATATTCACCATCCACAGGCTGTTGAGCCCAGACTCTGGAAGAGCTCAAGAACACACAACATCTTAGCACAGGATGGTCTGGAGGGCAGCACCACAGCACAGTGAGGACACTTTAGCCGGCGATCCAGGCCTGTCTCTTCCTCCAGCAGAGTATGAGCACTTTGCAACGTAAAGAGAGTCTCCTACCACAGATATCATCACTGTATCACAGAGGAACTCTTTCTTTGTGAACATTTTGTGCTGCTGCTCTGCCTGTGTATCTTCCCAGACATCACCAGAGCCCCGTGCCACCATGATGATATCTACAGGTAGCTCTGCATGTCAGCAAAACGCTCTCCCACATCCCTTTCACTGCGCAAGCTCTACCCTACGGCCCTGTCTGGTGTAGGAGACCGTGTCAGGCATTTCGACGTATTGCTCTGCTGGAAAACAGGAGCAAACTGCCTCCCTTTCTTCAGGGGCACCAGTGTCTACTCACAGGACTCCACTGAGACCACCACAGGTGCCTAATCTGGTTCAGAAGAAAAACTAATGTAAAACAAGACAACAATACATGATTCTGCTGGCCAGGCTGGACCAGTAGACACACAGTGCCTATAGTGACCTGGCTCTCTGTCAGGCGATGGAGAGCACGAGTCCCAGTGCCACTGTACTGGCATAAAAGTGCCAGTGATCCTGCCCTCTTCCTCAGAAAGGAGGATAATCTGAGCGTATGAAGTTCCGCCTCAACATGAGGGGAAGCTTCTTGGCTGTGCGGGTGCCGGAGCCCTGGCCCAGGCTGCCCAGAGAGCGTGTGGAGTCTCCTGCTCTGGAGACTTTCCAACCCGCCTGGACGCGTTCCTGTGGGGCTGCCCTGGGTGACCCTGCTCTGGCAGGGGGTGGCACTGGGTGAGCTCCAGAGCTCCCTTCCAGCCCCAACATCCTGTGATTCTGTGATTCTGTCATTCTATGATTCTAAGCATGATGGTTAAGCACTTCCAGGAGGTGACTGTACATCTCTTATCTATTTTCTTCTCTTCAAGGGCCACACTTATGTTTTCATCTGTGTGGCAACCAGCATTTTAGACACAACTATACAGTTCCCCTTCCCTGCTGACTGTTTCCTCTAAGGCAAGGAGGAGGTCATTTTTATTCTTACCGTGTGAGCAGCAGCAGATAAGGGAGTTCTCTGAACTGGAGTGCGCCTGTGGCTGCGATTATCCCACAAAACAATTTGGCCAGAGTATGTTCCACCAACGACCAGGTTTGGGTGAAAGCGGGCAAAACAGACAGACATCACGGAGGACTGGAGTAAAACGGGTAGAGAAGAAGAGAAAGAGTTACATGGTCAGTCATCTCCTGTTGTCTCCCTCAGGAAGCATACTGTAATTAGCAATTTGTTTTTCAGAAATCACCATATGAGCTCTATTCATATTCCTTGCACACCAGTAATTCTGCTAAAGCCAAGAGGACACATGCAAAGACCTAATTTTGATCCTAAAATGCGCAGTTCAAGTGGTCTTAGGGAAAATATGCACCACAGGATGAATCTTAGCATGGTGCTAAAAACCTGAGATAACCTCTCCCTGATAGTTACAGGAAAGGGGGACACATGCAAAGACCTAATTTTGATCCTAAAATGCGCAGTTCAAGTGGTCTTAGGGAAAATATGCACCTTAGCATGGTGCTAAAATCCTGAGATAACCTCTCCATGACAGTTATAGGAAAGGGTTTAAGTTCATTCCAGATGTGAGAATTTCAGGTAACCAGATGCCGGCCCAACAGAAGTTGGCATCCTGACCCGTGATTTCCCATCATGGAGACCTGGTTCCCTATTGCTCCTCTAGCTTTCAGCTCTCAAACAATGTGGGGTGAGTCTGTCAGAAAGCCTCCCAAGTCTACCTCAAGGTGCCCTGCCTTGAGAGCATGGGCTGACAAGCTACATCTCGTTGGATCAGTAGCTGATTCCTCTACTACAGAGAGGCCCTCGTCTAACAGCAGAGGGAACGGCACTTTCCCTTGCACTGTTTCAGCATGAATCAGGTTTTCCTCATTTTAACTACAGCTGAGTTGCCGTTGTATGTTTTCTCTAGCTGGGGATGCTGGGGATCCAGACTGGCATAACGATTACCCTGGCTGCCTGGCAGAGTGCCCCCAAAAGCCAGCACGGAGATGGGTATCTATCCCAACTACCTTCCAGTCTCATTAAAAGAACATACAGCATCTGAAGTCCTCAAGGGAACAGTCCCCAGAACCTCCATGTGCCAACAAGCTACAGCCAAGAGCAACAAGCTGTAACCCCTTCAAGTCCTCCATCCCCTTATTAAGGAACTATTTCCCGTTTTTCTATAATTGATCCTGGATGTTATGTCTTTGTTTTATGCAAATTGGAAAGCAAAAGTTACAGCGTTCATATAACTTCCGGAGAATTCACGTACTAATCTGTGGACAGAAGCAAATGTCATTTTTTTCACGGGCTTACAAGCCACAGAGCAAGACCTGAACTTCCATGACCATTCATGAAGTTAAACTCACCGATAGTGGGCACATTCTTAAAAAGTCATTTTCTTTCTGCTCCCCATGAGTTTTGGTAACAAACCTTTGTTACAGCTGAATGACCGGACATTTTGAAGCGGTGATGTTCTTGTGTGCGAACCCATTCTACTCAATGGCAAAAGGTTAACGAAATGACCGTTATTTCAGTTGCATAAAAAGCACTGCAGACATTTAAGTAAACTTTGCTGAATGTGGAACGGAGGAGTTGCCAAGCTGAACTCAAGCCAATGTCTACCTAGCTGGTGACCCTGTCAGGCAGGACTGGATGGAATTATAAAAACTTTGACATTGGCAGATGTGTTGTCTTCTTTCCTTTCTGGTCCTCCTCCTGATTTCTAGTGGCTGAGACCGGTTGAACTCTCATACCAGAGCTTTAAAAGTCCTCCTGATAGGGCTAGAAATAATTCTGCTAACTCTTGATAATCGATAACTAGGTTAATAAGTGTAAAGCAAAATCTGAGGTTTAAATAGTTTCTCCCGAATTCAGGTGGCTGCCTGCTATCTATCATTTAAAGCCAGATTCTATGCTAAATTAAGTGTGGGCATACTTACAGCACACAGCAGTATATTCAATACTGGTTTTTTTGACCTAGTAAGATTGCCAAGACAGTGAAATAAGCTGCCACTATGTTTTTTCTTCCCCGTTCTCTCTGTATTCTCGTGGATCTTCGATCCCTTCCCTTCTCAGCTAAAGCTTTTGCCCAAGTTTCTCTGATGTTACATAGTCCAGTATCCAATGACTAGATGATTAGTAAACATAATTGCCTCTTTTAGTCCATTTCTATCCACGCTCTTGAGCATAGTAATATACACTATGGTCAGTCATAGCAACAAAAGGTAGATTCCAAACACCATTTCCAAAGGCCCTATGATCTTTCCAGATAAGAAAATCTACCTCTGACCAACAGGATTTTGGTACTGCTGAGAGGGGCTTAAAACTCAGCTAAAATTCAGCTGCCATCCGGTTTCCACAGATCCCACACGCATTATAATTAAAACGACCCTACAGCACATGTTCTACATTTTATCTCTTTGTTTAATGGCTTCGTGAGTTGTTTTAATCAACCCCTCTCCTTCCTTATAACTAAGCTGACAGATATTCTTACATGAAATGAAATAGCCAGATGATTTTAAAATAGCACAGCTCTACCACTGTGCACACCCCGCAGCAGCTACAAGGCTCCACATGTATTTTAAGAAACCCCAATTCAAACAGTCATTCCACAACAAAGTTCTCAGTTTGTCCGAAACAAACTTGGGAGACTCTGGAGCAGGATGGAGAAGCCAAGTGGACAGCGTATTATTAAATGTTGTGTTTTCATGGTTAGCACGGTTTTGAATTCAGAATCCCAGAAAACAGTCGAATGGTCAGGATATAAACTGCTAAAGTGTGTTTTTCATAAAGTTCAGAAATAACCTACAGACATGACACGGATTTAAGCCTTCTGCACTGCTTCTAGTTTTACGTATCGCTCCAAAGTAACTTGCCTTCTTCAACTGATGAAACGTTCACATCCTTTTAATTATGTCAACGTTATTTTTCTGCCGAGGAAAAACTTCTGTCAAATATTAGAATTTAATGATTTAAGGACTCCACTCCGTAGCACTTAATGTAGTGATTATTTTCTTAAAGTTAATGGCGGTACTCAGATGAGTAAGGGCTGTAAGATCCAGCCCATTCATTTAACAACTTTAAAAGCATTCATTTCTTAGCCTTAATGGGAGAGAGCGGCAGACAGGTCTCCAGTCTGTCTGAACAGCTCTGTGCTCAGGGAGGGCAGCAGAAATCGTTCCCTGCCAGCCTCTTCTGCCTCCAGGCTGCCCCCTGTTTGCCGATTCAAGCAGTCCTGCTCCTCCAAATCAGAGTTTTGCCACTGACTTCAAAGGGGGAGGAACCAGCCCATGGTCAGGTTTCAAAATAGCAGCACATCCCTCTTTGCACTTCTGCCACACCTTTCTAGGGAATCTCGGGGCACTTTGCAATAATGGTGGTAAAGCTTTCCAGTGAGGCACATTTATATGCTGTAAGTACTTGGGTTCGCTTTGGAGAGGACAGAGCAGCTAGTTTCATAGCATAGCGCATACGGAAATGTAAGAGGGATCACCTCAGAAGGCAATTCCGCAGGGACTTTTGCGTCCACAGCATAAAAGTGGAACTCAGAATAGCAGGTTCCCAGCATTATCTTTTCATTTGTGCCACAGAGTATCTACGGCTGCTAATTGTCAGGACCCGCAAGAGTTGGGCAAGTGCCTGCGTTTGGCCACCTGAATTTCTCTGAATTCCTCCGTGCAGTGAATCATTTCATCGTTCGCTTTAACGCTCTGGTGTTTTCTGCCTCTGTGCAAACACAGCCTACTGCATTTAGCTTTCTCTGCCTCTCCTCGGCTGTCTCAGCAACCCCACTAAAGTACTCCCGGTACATCTGGTAGATATTTCTCCTCCCGTAACGTGGCGATGGCTTTCTGGTGGGTGCCACCAGACTGGTGCTTCTGCCTTGTGCCCTGCATGTGGCTCTCCCTGTCTGCAGCGGCGAGCCGCTCTCAAAGGGACAGATGAGCCAGCCCGAATTAGCTCCAGGTGGGAGCACTGCCTGGGCAAACGGAGGAGCCAAGACTAGGCTTGCAAACCTGAGATTTTTGCCTGGCAAATGGGTGATCCCGCTCCCCAAATGCTAAAGTTTCTCCTGGCTGTTACAAGAACCACGCTGTGAAAGTCATTAAGAAACAAAGCATGAAATGTCTGTGCTCTCCTCACGGCAAAGAGAGGGTTGGCCTCAGAAATGTGTCGCCTGGCCCTTGGAGCCTCCTGCAGCCGAAGGGACGAAGGCATCCCAGCCCGGCGCCCTGTTCTGGCAAGGGCTGGGTCTCCTCAGCCCGTAGTGAGAGCAGTGCTACAGGGGTGAGGGGGAGCTTTGCTCAGCCGCTGCTGCCTCCTCCTCCATCCCTTCCTCCCGCCATCCCTGATGTGCTCAGCTCAGGCAGGCCCCAAGCCCTCTTCAAGTGGCTGGCAGAGCTGTTTTTTATTTGAGAAGCTTAATCCAGCCCAGATTTGGGTTAATGATGGCATATCCCTTCAACCACAGCTACACATGCTCGGGACAGACAGTCATTTGGATCCCCCCGGCGGAGAAGCCTGCCCTCAGTCCCCACATCTGATGCGTGTCGGGCCCCAGGGACTCAGCTGCCCGCGCTCAGGGCCCTCGATTCGGATGGCGCGCTGCCCAGCCAGCAGCTGAACAAGTTCACAAAGACCTGGGTGCTAAACAGTAACGACTTTCCATAGGCAACGACTGCCGCCTCCAAAGAGACCTCTTCTGCAGGAAACCACCCCTGTAGGCAGCGCGGCCATACTGGTGCCATATGCCTACACTTGACGCCAGATGGGCCTCGAAACAACACTTCCACAGTGGGAAGAAGTGATCTGAGGGGTTCACAGGCATTTCTAGGCTCCAGAACACCGGGTTATATTGCAGCAGACGCTCAGGAAACTCCTGGGTGGATTTTCTAGCTGAGCAAATGCACGTGAAAAAGCGCTGCAGCCTGTGGCAGGCTACTGCGGGTCAGTCTAACGCAGAGAGCAGTGGGCAATAAAACTAACTACAGCTGAGATGAAGAGGCAGATCCTTTTTCCACGCTTGAGGGAATCGGCTTGGAGGGACTGAGAGCTGAGGGATAAAGCTGTGGTGCTGCTGTTTAATTAGAACCATGAAAAGGTGTCACACTCATAGTCCTTTATCCACAGAAACTGAA